TTCTATTGTTCTAGTCAGGCACCTTCTTAATTTCAATAATTTTATATCAAAATATTTTTTACCTTCACTCAATGTATATTTTATAATTCTACTTATTTATTGTAACGTTTGGTTAATTTTTAAAAATAATTTAAAATTTAAAATTCCCTCCATAACTTGTGCTTGCTACTTCAGTGGTTCCAACCCACTTTTATCTTTTTAAATATTAACTTTGATCAATTTTCATGAAATTTATTTGTTTCTCTCAAGTTGGCAATTGTTTTGACAACTTCATTGTCAACTGTCAATTGTCACTCAGTTCTTTTTTTGGCACTGTTAAAGTCAAGATGGTTACCTTTTCGTCTTTATTGCATTCTACTTCTTACGATTACCTGTGCCCCAACTTGCCTCCGCCTCACGGTAGCTATTTTGAAAGGGCAGCTGGCTTCAAGCCGAAGTTCAGTTTTTTCCATCTCTCTTCCTTGGAAAGGTTGAGACAGTTTATTTACACGTGTTGGGATGAGCCCCCACGTTTCTTTTCAATTTTCAACCACCTGTTAGGATTGGTTTTGCTTCGTTTCAAGCCTCAAGTTATGGTTGAGAACCAGGGACCGTATTGTGGCAGCCCTTTGAATCTAATAAATAAAAATTTTAAATAATTAATTTTCATGTACCTTCTATATTTACTGACAAGTAAGTTGTAATGTTTTTTTTTTATTTCTTGTTCAATGTTTAGGAATATCTCGATTTGACTATTGTTATAGCTCCGTTTTTTTATCTTTGTAGAGTCTCTGATGATGGCCTAATCAGCTGAAAGCGCTAAGACTACTTTTACTGAGTTTTATTAATATTAATAAAACTACCTACACACTTTAAATACGTCACATTCATTTCTTATTACCCAGTGTGTACACACCACTCAACCTCTTCAAATAAATATATTTCAAATCAACACACATTTATTTGTTTAAAATAACTTAAGTTGTTTGTTTTTTCAGTTAAATATCGTAGTCTTTAACGTAAATAATTTAACAGCAAATAATCAAAATATTAATTCCAAATGATAATTTATTTGAATCGAATAATATAAATAACATATTAAATAAATTTAAGCGTGAGGTTAAATACATTGCTATTTTCATAGTCAAATAATATAATTAGTAGGCCCTACATAATTATTCATTATTTAGGTATGAAGCTACACTGTGAAAAACATTTTCTTGAATCAAACAAATGAATTTATTTATGTTAAAAAGAATTTGTTTGATCCAAGACCACCATTTATGTGAAGAAATTCGAGTTCTTTTAAAATAGATTTAATTTGTCTCAAATTAATTTTCACAATTATTTATTTCAAGCTCTACATTTGTTAAATTTAAATATTTTTTATTTTTATTAAAACAAAGGTTGTTTGGCAGAATTTTTTTTATTATTTTGAACCAATTTTTGTATTTGTTTGAATGAAGACTTAAATATTGTTGAAAATAGTTATATTCAAATAGTTTTATACAGTTTAAATATTTAATTACAATAATTTATAAATTTTGCTGATTTCATGTAATATCCTCCAACTAAACAAGATTTGCCTGTTTTGCACTGGACTAAGTTGAGGATATTTTATTAAGTGTACGTAGTAATTAGAAATATTTTTAACTTTAGGGTTTTGCTTTAGGATTAAACAGAGAAACTTCAACAGTCAACAGAAGTATCACGGTGGTATAAAAAACAATGAGTCTGTTGGTGATGTTGCTATAATATATAGATAAATTTGAAAATAATGCCATTTAAGACAATATTTCCATAAGTAACTATAAGTGAGCAGTTAGGTATATATTTTCTTTTATATTTTTTAAATTAAAACAATTTAGGTTCCTTTTTAATAATTATGGGGATAAGATATTAAACTTTGGATCGAAGAAAAAAAATTGATGTTTGAGTTACAGTTTTTTAAAGCGTGGGATATGAAGGTCCAGATTTGTATTTATACTTAAATTTATTGGAATTGTTATATGTGTTTAGAATACAGTTATGGATATAAAGTGTCTTATTAATAAATATTTCAGCTTCCTCACATAATTTTTTTCTTGGATATAGTTTATATTTTAAACATAATTATAAGTAGCGTGTTTTGAACTGTCTCTAGAATCTTAAAGAGTTGTCCACTAGGCAATAATACAATATCTTAAAACTGATTGTGTAGGCAACACATTTGATAATTCGTCAATAGCTTCATCTAACTGGTTCACCGGCAAAAAAGCCAATGATGTCACCATTCGCGCCTCAACTGCAAAATCTGCGTCATTATTATATCTCCCAAGTAGATTTATTTGTCCCAAATGCTTTCGCATGTTTTTTGTCAGGTGGAACAAGCATCCCATTATTTCCGCATCCGGAAAAGTTCCTTTAAAGGCATTGATGGCAGCCAATTCAAAATCGCAGGATATTTTTCTGGGGTGTAGGTTCGGCAGAAGACTTTTCAGAAGCTCGATCACATTTACGTATGTTGCCGTTTGTTTATTCGGGAGAAGTGCATAAGCTACGGGATGAACTGCGCCAAATCTTTTAGCCATTATTACACATACTACACTACGGCGGAGCAATGGAAAATGTTCCATCGATAAACCAGTGGTCGGAATATAATAAAATCTGCAAATAAATATTATTTTATTGTTTATTTTAATAATGTTCTGTTGTTTTGATAACACTTAAAAAATTGTTTGAGTTTATTTTTGCGTTATAGGCTACCAAAAATAATATTATAAAAGAATACTCTTTAAAAAATTAGTTAAAGGTGTTGAAAGTTCATAAAATTTTTATTGATGTTATTATTTAAATATTTATTTAAATGTAGATGAGTAACATGATATGTTGTTGTTTAAATATTCCTTTAAATGTAGATAAAAAATGTGATGCAATAAATAATAGAAAAATTTATAATATACATTGTCAGAAGTTATATGTAATGATAAAAATGTGTAAAAAATATTAATATTTCAGAAACTACTAAATATTAAAAAAAAACTCTGGTGCAATTTGAATTTTTAAAAATCGTGAAAAGTAATCATCACGGAAAAATTTTGGCCTGAAAATTTTTTGTATTATATCTCTAACATATCTAAAGAAATTCTGAAATTTTCAGAGTGGTGTTCTTTTTCGTTTCAAAGATATGAATTTTTGAATTTTGGCAAAATAATTTTTTTCTATTTTTTCAACTTTTTTTGTTGAATATTATTATTCTACCACATGATTACCGAAATTTGAGGTCTAAAATATTTTTCTTATGTTAATGGGATGTAAAAACAAAAATATCTCAAAATTTTATGAAAATAATCTGTTTATTTATAATACTTTTTAACATTTAAGGCTTCCGTGATCAAATGAAAGGATTAAAAGCATAAAGAAAGTATTCGATTTTTAAGATTTCAATTCCTTTTGTCCTTTCAGGGTTTGCTGCAGTTAATTTCGTACGACGTTTTTTGGTCACTCCCTTTTCTGAGGTCGATGTCTCAGTCCTTTTTCTTAATCTTAAAAGAAAAAAATAAAATTCATTTTGAAATAAAAGATTAATTGCCATAAAGTAAAAAAACTCGAAATTCTAATTTTTCTACCTGATTTTCATTGGTGATTCATCGATGATATCATAAACATCAGTGTCTTTTAAGCGAAAATCTTTTCCTTCTCGTGATGATGATAAAATTTTCATTTTTATCGCATCCCTTGAAATAGGAATAGCAGCATGACAGCTACGTATTCCTTGAACAGGTAAAGCATCTTTAAATCTTTTGCTGAGTTTTTTTTTCGGTCAGCTGAATTTGATTGTTGGAAACGAAACGGCAATAAACTCCTGGAAGATTATCTTGGCCCCATTTACACATTCCTTCAGGAGTTTGTATTTGTTGATCAGCTTCTTTTTGGAGGTTAGCTCGGGTAAGTAAACGCTTAATAAGACCACCCAACCCATCACTTGGACCTTTCCCATGAGAAGTTGCATGGAAATGCCATTCGGCTGGTATTTTAAAATCTTCTTCATGGTGGAGCAAGTTAACTAAATTGTACCGGTTCTTATATTGAGATGCGGCACCATCCGAAAAATAAATAATTTTTGTAATATTGGGAACCTTAATTTTAAGAAACGATGTTAATTCCTCTTGAAAACTGTAAACGGCAGTAGTGTTATGCGTTAAGTTATGCGAAACTATTATCAAACTAAGAGGTATTACTTTGCTCTCATTCCCATCAATAGATTTATAATAACAAGCAAATGGATGAATTATTGCTTGTGTATTATTCCAATATTTTCCTTGAACACTATTTTGTAGCAAGAACGAATAGTTTTCAGAAAAATCAGCAACTACAAGAACATGTTGCAGTACTTTTGGAATTGATTCTATAAAAAAATCAACATAATCATCAGTTGATTTAATGATCGTCTCCAAAGAACATCTATCAACTTGAGTCCACTGATTACATTTGATTTCATCCAAAAAATTATCCGTGAAAAGATTTTCCAAAATACTTCTTAATTTTATTGAGCCTGGACAATGAGTACAGTTTTCTGTAGGTTCTTGGCATATACGACGATAATGGTTGACTATCATCTCGAAGTTTTAATTTATCAAGTTTCGCACCGTGAAATAAAAGTTTAAAATTTTCATGAATAAGACAAACACAAACAACGTGAGTGTCTGATGCACCAGCAAGAACACATTCAGCCGGTCATAAACTAGCAAATTTTGAGAAACCTATCTTTTCAAATGGGTACTTTTCTCGAAACAGTTGATAAATTTCGGTAAGGTTACCTAAAATTAAACGTTTTTGTTTCTGTACACGTTGACCATTCTCACACACAGATTTATAATCTTTTTTGCCAGGTAATTCTCTACTGATATCTTGACTTCTGAAAAATTCTTGGACTCTTTCTTCTGTAGTCTTCTATAGTGAATGACCTTTATTGGAATCAGGAATAAACAGAATACCATCTGGTTTTACTTTCTGTTTTACTTTTCTTACCATGTAAGAAAATGCTCAAAAGGTATTTACAATTTTTTCTATCGACCAACTCCATTTACTAGTATTATCAAATTTATTTTTTAATTATTCTACTATAACTCTTCCAGTTAGTTCTGGATCATCGTCAATCGTCGAATTACTATCTTTAGCTGAATCGAAAACATCTGTTACATGTTCAAAGCATGATTGTATCTTAGATTTCATGTCATGTAATTTCTTCCAAGCATAAGTTTTCGATCGATCTAAATCTTTTTTTTTAATCGGAGATAAATTTAATGTTTTTGAAACAGTATTTAGACGTTCAAAGTGAATATCTTATGAAGTGAAAGTTTCACTAGTTGAGCTATAAACTTCAGATGTTGATGTTGTAGTATTCGATAAAAACAATTTTTCAGATAAATTAAATGACATTTTTTCCTGCATTTCAAGTGAGCTTTGAATGACTACTGAGGTCTGCTCTGCGTTGACTGTAAACATTTCAGATGAATCAAGATCAAAATTTTCTGAAATCGCTTCAACGAATCCACTTTCTTCAACTTTGACAGTTTGTTTAACTACTTTTGAATCAATTTCCTGTTTTTTTTTTAAATCGCTATTGATTTTTTTTAAACAGGTTATACATAGTTTAGTGCCAGGAACAATGGGCAAACTAAGCTTACACAGATTGTTAAGCTCAAAAGAAACCACTTTCAATGATGAATTTTATACGGATCAATACAAACTCTTTGATTCAAATGTAATGTTCACGAAATTGCTTGTTATGTTTAGCACAAATAAAATTCACAACAGTATCACTTCTAGCATTTAGAGAAATGCGGTCTTCATCTGAAAAAGACTTGCAGTCTATTAGACCATCTTCGGAGCACATTTCTTTACTAGATATACCGATTGAACACTGTCTCTTCTTCTCCGTAACGAATTTTAATTTTATTCTGATTATTATCTCAGAAATTCAGATTCACGAACAGACTCAGTTATTTTATGTTGTTAAGTAATAATAATCATTAGAAATAGGGCCCTCTAGTGAGCTCTATCGATAATAGTGATTTCACTGATGGGAACATAGATGGCAGAGTGTGACACTTTTAACATTATTTAAGTTTTGATGTAAAGTTAAATCTATAATATATTTTGAGGTATTTATGGTTTTACATCCCATTAACATAAAAAAAATATTTTATACCTCAAATTTCGTTAATCATGTGGTAGAATAATAATATTTAACAAAAAAAATTGAAAAAATAGAAAAAAACTATTTTGCCAAAATTCAAAAATTCATATCTTTGAAACGAAAGAAAACATCCCTCTAAAAATTTTAGAATTTCTTTAGATATGTTAGAGGTATAACACAAAAAATTTTCAGGCCAAAATTTTCCTGCGATGGTTTTCACGATTTTGAAAAATTCAAAATTTTATTAATTTTGATAATTGTCAAATTTTGTTTTCAAAAATATTTTTTTCTCATACCACTAAGTGTCCTCTGAAAATCCACTAGAGTTTTTTTTTATAATATTTAGTAGTTTCTGAAATATTAAATAACTACAGTCATAAAATAGGAAAAACAGTGAAATTTTTAATTTTGAATATCTTTTAAGAAAAATTTTTTATAATTTTTTCCTTTGGCAGAACTTCCTTTTTGTGATGAGACAAAACTCTCCATTAAAATTCATCCGAATCGGTGGGGGTCGCGTCCAACTATTTGTCGATTTGACATGGAATGACCCAACAAGGAAATTCAACACCGGCAATAGGCTTCAAAAATTATTAATTAATACCTATAAATCCATGTCACTAAAATATCAAAAATGCAATGGGATATTTCCTAGAATCATATCAAAATTTGACACATGCCAAATTTTTACATAAATAATGCCAGTCTGATTAGAAATACGCTCCACTTTGCTTGATATTTCGAAATATTTAACAAATTGTTAGGAAATTACTTGTCAAAATTAAAATTGCTAATATATTAATGTTAGTAGTGAAAAAAAAATTATATATACCTCGGCTGAGAAAGCTATTATTTACCTCGCACATTAGTGCTTGGTAAATAATAGCTCACTTCTCACCCTAAGTATATAATGTACTATTTTCAAGAATAATTAGTATATTATATATTGATGAGAAGGCAATAAAACTTTCAGATTAAAAATAAATAATCGAAAATTTTTGATTCTGTTAGCAAATAAAATCTTTTTTGTCTCTCCTGTAAAAGTTTTTTCTGAGATACGAGGTTACGTCATAGTACTCTCGATATTTAAAGTTTTAACGTTTACTATTCAGAACTGTCAGTGTCAAATACCTAATACTAAAGACGCGAAATAATAAATTATAATTAATTACTGACATTAGTCTAAATTACCCTAGTTTACACTACTCTAAAACTATTCTAACCTATCCTATTTCCTAGCCTACCCTATTTTAAATTATTCTAAATTTACACTACTCTAAAACTAGGTTTTTCTATCCTAAACTATTCTAACCTAATCTCAATTATTCTAATGTCTATCCTACCCTATCCTAAATTAGTCTAATCTATCATACCTATTCCTATTACTATTCTTCACTTAACTATTTACACTATTCTACTTCTAATCTATTCTACGCTTAACTATATACACTAGTCTACTTCTATTTGATTCTAACTTACCCTAAGCTACTCTAATTACTAAACTACTCTATTACTTACCTATTCTGCTATAACCTATGCTAATCTCTTTAGTTACCTTTAGATTTAAGAGTGTGCGGTACATAAATGTATATAAATCAATAAAATGGGTCCATTAAATAAATTCATAAAATATCCGTTTTTATTAAACATATTTATAGTAAAATATAAGATAATATTTTGTAATAAAGTATAATCTCACCTGGAGTATATTCAATTATAATTAACACCTTAATAAATAATTTAAAATGTAGGTAAATATATTTCGCTACTTTGAACAATAACTCTAGCTCATTTAATTACTAAAAAGCTTTATTTTTATTGTTATTGTTTACATGTCGATTTTAACTCCTTCAGTTGTCAAATTCTTCTAAATTTATAAATATTGACCACACTCTTTCCAGAAATTATCCTATTACCCTTTTGTAGTCAGGGCTTTCTTGCTAAGACATTGACTTTTGTTGGCCATTTTGTGGAACTTCCTTCCTGGCCGAGTTTTTGCTTGGATTCTGATTGTGGCATGTGCCAAGATTTCGGCTAGGATTTTCTAGGATTTTCTAGGATTTTCTAAGATTTTCTAGGATTTTCTAGGATTTTCTAGGATTTTCTAGGATTTTCTAGGATTTTCTAGGATTTTCTAGGATTTTCTAGGATTTTCTAGGATTTTCTAGGATTTTCTAGGATTTTCTAGGATTTTCTAGGATTTTCTAGGATTTTCTAGGATTTTCTAGGATTTTCTAGGATTTTCTAGGATTTTCTAGGATTTTCTAGGATTTTCTAGGATTTATTCCTGTGCAAAAACCATAGATTCTTTTAGTCCGATATATTGTTAGTGATCTTTGCGATTCATACACCTAGTGGTCACATACCATCAAAGGTGAGTTTTTCAAAATAAATTATTATTTCACTTACCTATATTCCCAACAGCCTTCTGTATACCTAATCGTTACAATCGTCAATGTTTTTCAGACCTCCTTGGTTCGCTCCTTTCATTCGTGCGTTCCTTCCTTCGCTCGTTCAGATTTACAATTCTGTGTAAACGCTTTTATTAGAGGAATACTTCTAAGGACTGTGTGCAAGTTCTCTCCACCTTTCCATATTGAATAGGGCTTCTCCACTTCACCGTTTGCGTGCTAGCAACAGAGTACAGACAATTAGATAACCCCACCGATTACTAAGTCATTTTCATAGCAGTCTACTACCTACCGACATCATGAGGAAGCTGCCTAACTGGACATCGTGCTTCGTTGAGTTCACTTAATCACCACAAGTAAGACGGTTCCTTTTTTTAACCCTATATTTCGGATCTACTAACGAGGTTAGGTTGTTTGAGACAGTCTACAACAAACATATAGTTAAATACTTGTTTAAATAGACTCAATTTCTTTTGTATATGTATATATTTAAATTGTAATATCCACCTACCGGTTTAGTTTTTTTCCTTTTTGTAATACGAAGAGTACTCTACGTAAATCGCATTTTAACCACCCACTTGAAGGGTTATATATTATAAGGGTATTTAATTTAGAGGTAAGAATAGTTGTGGAAACACGCCTTTACATAATATATTTCTTTTTTCTTAATAGTCGATATTTCGTGTAAATTTGTTGGTTATAAATTTTTTTCACCCCCTTTACAGGGTAAAACTCACTCACCACGACTTCAGTTTTTTAAATGGTATGATACCACTTGTGGCACCTTGTTGGAAAGGTATTTCCAAAAGAAAATGGATTGTGCATTTTTTCCATTTTTACCCAATGGTAATTTTCTAGCGTGAAAAAATTATTTCATGTCAAAAAATTCTTCTGATGCTTACAAAATCATTCTAAGGTACAGTTTTAAGTGGTCAGTATTTTCTCAATTTGTTTTTAGAAAAGTGTATGAATCGCTTTATCTCAATTTGGATTTTTTATTGTAAAAATCTGATGTGTCCAACACATGACTTTCCTATCTAGTTATTATAGGCATTTTCCGGTTATTTTGTACAACCTATTGCAGCATCTCTATAAATGTTTAGAGGATAAACTAAATATATACATTTTACACATACATCTACCTCGAAACATTTTTCTATAGATATTCATTGAAAACGAAAATACAGAAAAAATTAAATTTAGCACTTTTCCATTACGGTCCATTTTAGAAAAATCATGTATAAACAAAAATTATAGAAATCGATATCGCAAACAACTTTTAGTTCAACAATTTTCATAAAAATCAGAATTTTGCACATTTTGTCAAATTTCTCGAATACGGACCATTTCAAGAAATTTTGACATAAAACAAAAATTATAGATAATAATATTAGAAGTAACTTTTATTTGAACAATTTTCTTCTCCAAACATAAATAACAGATATATTCCATAAAATATAAAAGTGGCCTCCCATAAAGTACCCCCCCAGATGGTCCGACTATGTCCAAAATCTAATCATTTCACAACAGGCCGAAATAAACCTTAAGTTTAAAATTTAATGTTTTTTTCTTTATCCGTTTTTGAGTTTTCTTCAAAATTCGAAATTTACACATTTTCTCAAATATCTCGAATACGGTCCATTTTAGAGAAATTATGTATGGAATAAAAATTAAAGAGAATTATATTACAAACAACTTTTATTTGAACAATTTTTATAAAAAATAATTTTTTTTACATTTTGTCAAATTTCTCGAATACGGACCATTTTAGGAAAATTTTGCATAGATCAAAAATTATAGATAATTATTTTAGAAGTAACTTTTATATGAAGAATTTTCTTCTCCAAACGTAAATAACAGATATATTCCATAAAATATAAAAATGACCCCCTATAAAGTACCCCCTCAGATGTTCCGACTCTGCCCAAAATCTAATCAGCTCATTGGACGTTGAAACAAAGCTTAAGTTTAAAATTTGGTGTTTTTCTGTGAATCGGTTCATGAGTTATGCGTTATACACATCATCGCGAAAATAGTCAAAACAGATTCAGGGGACCTCAAAACGTAAAAATCCTTTGAAAACTCGAGGTCGAAAAAAATCATGATTCCTATACTTTCCTTATATCTGTATACAGATAGGAAAGTAAAAAATGGACTCGTAAAAATGAAGGTAAGTATAGGTACAAAAAATTATCGCATCTTTATCAATTGTAAGGCTGCAATGAATCAATTTATTGTCTGTCGAATTAGTATTCTTTATTTTCGTTAAAAATGCCGGCGTATTTAACGGAAACTTTGAAAATAGAAATTTTGATGATGATTGGGTTCGGAGATCGGATGCGTACCCAAGCAGAAGTTGCGGTATTATTTCAAGCGCGACATCCGGAATTGCCTCCGTTACACCGGGCTACAGTAGGCAACATTGAGGCTTATTTCAGGTTGCACGGGTATTTACGGCAAATTCCTCGAAAAAGGCCACAACGAGTAGACGCAGACACTAGACTAAATGTTCTTCTAACATTTGAGGAAAATCCAATCAGTTCTGCCAGACGAGTAAGTACGGAATTTGATTTGTGCCATAAAACTGTATTGGCTATCTTGAAATCTGCTGGTTAAAGACCCTTCAAAATAAAGCATTGTGCATGAGTTGATGGAAGATGATCCCGATCGGAGGGTGAAGTTTTGTGAAACCATAATGAGACAAATCGATGACGGAAATATTTTACTGGATTGGATATTGTTTTCCGATGAATCAACTTTTACCTTAAATGGAAAGGTGAGTCTTTTTGATTAGGCACCTATCGATAACTCGCAACAATATTGTTAAATCTGTACGCTTTAGGAACGTTAGTGATTAAAGATCTTTAACTTCTGTGTCTTCATTTTTAGGTAAATCGTTAAAATTGTAGGTACTATGCTGAAACAAATCCACATTGGATAGTTGAGCAGCATAGTCAATATCAAGGAAAAATCAACGTGTGAGCTGGAATAATTGGAGATAGAATTATTGGACCCATATTCTTTGACCAAAATTTAACCGGCGACAGACATTTGGAATTTTCACAAATACGTTAATACCTGAACTTATCCAAACGTTTCAGACAGAAGACGGAACCATTGATCAAAGAAATTTCTTCCAACAAGATGGGGCTCCCATTACGACAGTTCTTAAATGACTTTTCCAGAACAGGTGGATTGGAAGAAAAGGATTTATTGAATGGCCAGCTAGATCTCCTGAACTTACTCCATTAAATTTTTATTTATGTGGCTCCTTAAAATGTAAGGTATACTTCAAAAGACCCAATAATGTTGAAGCGCTAAAGGAAAGAATTAGATAAGAAATTCGGCAAATTACACCAGAAACATTCAAGCTGAATTTTATCACCGAGTTGCTCTTTGTTAAGAAGTTAATGGTGCTCATTTTGAACAGTTGCTAAAATAAAAAGAAATAGATCCACTTAGCGAGTAGAATATGTATAATTTTTTATTTAAATGTAAAATAGAACTTAATTTTCCATGAATTACCTGTCATTTTGATGTTTCTTTGATTAATTTGGATATTCCTAACCATGTAGATTGTTGAATTTTGTGTAAATTTTTAAGATAAAACACACTGACTATAATTTTTGAGCCCAGTTTATGCACAACTAATTTTTGTTGCATTTCGTTCCCAATTCTTCTTTTTTCTTGCTAGAAAATAGCATAACATTTAAAAGGAAAGACTTGTATTTCGTGCAAAACTTTTTAATTATTAAATGCAAAGCGCTTTCGGCTTATTAGCCATCATCAGTGCTTATCTACTGTCCATAATGTATCCAACAAGTTCCTGGTCATCCTGGTCATCCTCACTCCCAAAATTAGATATTTGCGGATATTTACAACGTGCTAAATCATATTATTAGTATAATTAATATTTTCAAATTTAAATTTCTTTATCTATTCATTTTTATATTTATTAGAATAAATATAAATTTATTACGCCAGTTAAAGTCCCCACCCTATATATCCCTCGTATCTACATGCAATTGTTAGAATTTCAAATGAATGCTCTTTTTGTTTAGTCTGGGAAGTAATTTTATTGTACTTAGGCTGCACCGTCAAGTTGTAATTTTTACACCTGTTAAACTACCGTTGCCTCGCAGGTATTTCAATTTGTAATATAAATTTTCTTCTTAATGTAAAATATAGTCGGTAGACTTATTTCTTTAAAACTAATATTGTTTTTTATTTCAATAACTGTTTCATGTACAGTATGACATAAATAAGATATTCAAAATTATTTTGTTGAACCACTGTATTTTTGTAATTTTATTTATCTAAATAAATACCATTACAATATCTTTAATGAAGATATTTATTTTATATAATAATGATAATTTATTTCAATCGAAACACTGCCGTTATCTAATAACCTTTGAACTTCCTATTCTCATCACAAAATCTTTCAACCCAATTCGCTTGCGAACATCCCCCAATTCACTCCGGGGAGTATTATTCCAGATAATTCAATTTATCCCGTTATGAGATATGCCCTAGCAAGCTACATTTTTTTTCTCTTTTCGGTCTATTATAGGACGTGCTGTCGCTGGAATATCTACACGATAAAAATAAAAACGACTCACTTTCCAATTTGCACGGACCCGCCCGCCAATACTTTCTAGAGGCTGCGCGCCATAAATGATCGTGGAGCTGAAGTGGGACACCGCCATGTTTTCATGTTTCTAGAGGTTTAAAAAAAATATTATATTATCCTTTCGGTATTAATACTACAATATTAATCCGTTTGTTAGCGTAGCGGCATTGTAGACTGCGGCTTATTGTACCACCATTTTATAATCCCACTACTTTTTTATATAGCACGCACTCATATACCGTCATTCATTCACAGCTTGACTCTTGATGTTTTTGATATTAGTAGAAACATTTTTAAAATAAATAAAATGTTTAGATCGGATTTGAGTTTTATTTTTCGAATTGATAGAAAATAATTTTAAATAAGGATTTCAAGGACTTTTATTAACTGTAATCTTAGGAATTTACTTCTAAATATCACTACAACTACTTATTTAGAATAGGTATACATCGCACAAGTGTAGAGAATAAATGAAAAAAATATTGAATGAGGGAAGGTGTTGGAGTATACAATATTTAATTTATTTTAGTTGTTTATTCCTAAATCATGACAATGATGACAATGATGACAATGATGAAAATGATGACAATGATGACAATGATGACAATGATGACAATGATGACAATGATGACAATGATGACAATGATGACAATGATGACAATGATGACAATGATGACAATGATGACAATGATGACAATGATGACAATGATGACAGTGATGACAATGATGACAATGATGACAATAATGACAATGATGACAATGATGACAATGATGACAATGATGACAATGATGACAATGATGACAATGATGACAATGATGACAATGATGACAATGATGACAATGATGACAATGATGACAATGATGACAATGATGACAATGATGACAATGATGACAATGATGACAATGATGACAATGATGACAATGATGACAATGATGACAATGATGACAATGATGACAATGATGACAATGATGACAATGATGACAATGATGACAATGATGACAATGATGACAATGATGACAATGATGACAATGATGACAATGATGACAATGATGACAATGATGACAATGATGACAATGATGACAATGATGACAATGATGACAATGATGACAATGATGACAATGATGACAATGATGACAATGATGACAATGATGACAATGATGACAATGATGACAATGATGACAATGATGACAATGATGACAATGATGCCATATTAGAATATGAAAGCAAAAATCTGCAGAAAGTTGTTCAAGAAAGGCTGGAGAAAGAAACCATAGAAATCTGGAGATTAATTACGGAATACCTAAAAATACAATAAATCAGCATGTGAAAAATAGGAATGTGAAAAAACCTGGTGGACAATTAGCCATAACGAACGTTGAAGAAAACAAAATTGTAAGTTCTTTGATGTGTCTTGCCGATTGGGGATTCCCATTAGAACTAATGGACGTGCGTATTTTGGTGAAACAGTATTATGATAAAAGGTGTGTAAGCATCAGAAGATTTACCAATTACTTGCCAGGGACGGACTGGATGAAATCTTTTCAAAAATACCGCCATTGACTTCTAAACATTTTCTGCTTTGTCTACGAAGAGCGTTTGTTACTCTCCTAATAGATTTATTTCTTTCTTCTTTAATATGGGTTGCAGTATTCTCAATTCGTCTAATTAGTGCATCCCGTGTGTATACTTTTATTTTGTAGACTTCATTTTTCATCCAGCCCCATAAACAAAAATCTAATGGTGTGAGGTCTGGAGATCTTGCAGGCCAATTAATAGGACCTCCACAACCAATCCAACGCCCTGGAAAACGTTCGTCCAAATGTTGCTTGACCTGACGAGCGACATGTGCAGGAGCTCCATCGTGCTGATAGTATATCTGCATTCTAATATTTACAGGAACATTCTCTAGCAGGCCTTGTAATTCATTTTGTAAAAAATTGAGGTAATTGTCTCCTGTGAGACGACTCTTTAAAATGAAAGGGCCAAATGAATAACTGTCAACCATACCATACCACACGTTTACAGAAAACCGATGTTGAAAATTGCTTTCGACTGTTGCGTAGGGATTTTCGTCTGACCATACATGATAGTTACGAGTATTATTAATTCCATCATGGGTAAATGTAGCTTCATCCGTAAAGAGTTTAATCGATACAACACGATGCATATTATTTATCCACCGACAAAACTCCATACGGTTAGCGTAATCCTGTGGTTGTAGGTGCCGTACTCTCTGTATGTGATAAGGATATAAGCCTTGCTCGTGGAGTGTGTTTATCACTCTTTTTTGTGGAATTCCCAATTGAGTGGCAATTCTCCGTGAGCTAGTAGTTGCACCTTCTTCTACTAGATGCAGAATATTTTCTACTTCTACAAAACCTTGTCGAGTAGCGCGTTCAGATGTTATGAAAGCACTAGGAAGCTTACCAGTCTTGCACAATTTGTTGAAAACTCTAATAAATACGTTTTTATCAGGATGTCTTTGGTGTGGAAAACGTTGAAGATATTATTCAGCAGCAGCGGTAGCATTTCCATTACAGAAACCATAAACAAACACCATATTTGCATATTCTAAATTTGAATAAGGATCTGGCATTTTGCAATACTAACAATCACATAAATTCGAAATTAAACGTTCAGTTACTGTTCACTGTACACTGACAGTTGATCAAAACGTCAAAATTATTAAATGCGTTTGAGCCTTGAACATATGGCATACTTTAATAATGTTAAAATTCAGAAGTGGAAATCTAGATGAACATTTTGAATTACGCCATAACTTGAAAACAAATGAAAATCGGATAAGAACATATAAGTTTTTTTACATTATTTTCACGTGTATAATATACTCCTAGAGTTTGGTGCGCTCCTCCCGACTCACCCTGTATACATATCAGGTAATCAGGTTATACATAGTGTTTTTTGGTATAATACGTCCAGAACAGTATAATGAAGTATTTGTGCTCCACAATGTAGCATTTCTTAAAACGAATTTTGGTGAATTATGTTTTTGTTATAATAATAAAGAATGACGTTTGTTGTTAATTGTAGAAGAATTCCTAATTCGACTACCTATTCCGATTAGATTATTGCTACCGAGAATTGGATTTAACATTAAAATATTACTTTTAGAATTATTATTAATATTAATATTTTACCAGTAAAACTAAAGCGTTATTTAATTCTATAATAGTCAAGTTTTTATTCAAAATTATTTCCCTTAGAGATACTTTCAAATTATTGAATTAGAGAAAAATAAATGCAACGACTGCTTGCAATTTAACTAATATAAAATACTTGTAAAATATGTTTAAATTATCAGAGAACAGAAACATATTAGTTAATTTTAATTTGGGAACATTACTTATAATAACTAATGAAGTAGAATTGTCGTCCTTATTCTTTAAAAGATAAAGGTCTGCAAGTAAAATCTCGAAAATACTCCAAGATCATTCGCTTTCTTTATTTATTTAACCCTTCATCACTCGCACCATTAAAAAAAATTTAACATTTTTTAAAAATATTTCCTAATTTCAACAATTTTGCATTATTTTTGCCGTGTGTCCAAGAATACTACTACGGCCCCACCCTATATACGCATGTGTAGTGCAGTGGGGCGTAGTTTTTGTTTTAGTACCAAAATTACGTAACAGAGAGTTGAAGTGTTTCCAGTACGTTAACGTAAACGTGAACGTCAACGCACAAAAATAATGTTTACGGTATAGTCCAAATTATGAGTTGAAATTGTTAAACACATCGTGACATTTACGTGTCATGACAGATAATGACCATTATTATTAGGATTTCTTCATTTCCAATTAAAACGGAGGTTATGTTATTTGCATTACGTTCATACGCATATGTAACAATTGATGAAATGTTAAAAGCATTTCAAGGTAGATGCCGATTTAGGCAGTAAATTACCAATAAGCCCAACAAATATGATATAAAAATATATGCCCTAGTTGATTTAATAACCTTTTTCACGATAAATCTCGAAGTTTATGCAGGAAAGCAACCAGAGGGACCGTTCTAGGTAAAAAATAATGCAATTAATGCGAATACGACCAAGATCATTGCCTTTAGCAAATTGTTTGGTGAAAAATCATCATCTTACAATAATTGATACTGTCCAAAAAAAATAAACCTAAAGTACCACGAGAGCTATTAGAAGTCAAGTAAAGAACAGTAAGGAGTAGTATTTTTGCGTTTGAAGAAAACCAAATAATTGCCTTCTGGTATCATATGTCCCAAAGCCAAACAAGATCGTGTTGTTATTGTCTACGATGCATACTGATGTCAAGATCGATCAAACAACAGGCGAGATTTGTAAACCCGAAATTATTACAGACTAAAATCTTACGTAAGGGGGAGTAGATGTGGTCGACAATATGAAAGCAGAGTATTCTGTTACTAGAATTAGCAATAGATGGCCATTTACCATCTTTTGTAACCTCTTAAGTATATCAACAATCAACAGCCTAAAAATATATCGAGAAAATACAAGTAATATTATTTCTTGAAGGAAATATATCACGGAACTTAGTAAATTGCTTGCCTTACCAGATCTGTGTCGAAATTATATCACTTTCACACAATTTACATCTGAAAATATAGAATATTATTGGAAAAATGGAAATAGAAACTCAACAAGTTCAACCTGCTCAGAACAAAGTGAGATGTGAATTTCGCCCTAAGAGAAAGAATAGATTCACTCAACTTCACTGCTCCTACTGCCAAAATCCAATTTACAAAGAACATGTGTTGTCAATGCTTTGGTAATAACGAAGACGCATAAAAAGCGTAAGTTTGTTTCTTGTTAGTTTTCCGTTTGTCAAATAAATTTATTTTTGGTAAACTCTATCAGTCACAGAGGAGTCAAGATGAGATGCCTCTGCGAAGAAATTAGTTTCAGGTTTTTTAAATGTATTTTTTAAGAAATATTTCTATAAAATAATTTTAAATAATTTAAGTTAATATATAAAGCTTCTTTTTGAAAAATAATAGTTTTATTGCAAAATAAAAGGATGTTAGATAAAATTTAACAAACGAGTGATGAAGTAAAAAATTGAGGTGCAAGTGACGGAGGGTTAAATGTAAAATGGATAAAACAAAAGCTACTAGATACTGGCACGTCATAGATTAATTATATCTTGTTAATATGTCAGGTGACAGTTATCAAATAATTTTGAATTTATCAATTTGTTAAATATTTGAATATTTTGACGTTTCAAAAGTTTTTGTAGGGGGTGGGTGGCTCAGTGGTAGAGTCTCTGCCTGTGGATCCAAGGGTCCCAGGTTCGAATTCCACCGTTGGCCAGGATTTTTTTATTTAATTTAATTATTTAAAATTAATTCTGATGCCTTGGTAGGATTCCCCACTCAACCATTCACTGTTGGGTTTTAATTAACAGTGCTGTTCCTAAAGTGGCGCAAGGAAACAGTAACAAGGCCTGTCTGTAGGGGTGTAGGAGTATTAGAGTACTAATACTCCTGCACTATGAAGTATTAGACTACTAATACAATCCATAACCTACATAGAAAACACTAGGCTAATGATCTTAGATGTTGAAGCCGTACACCAAATAATAAATAATAATAAAAGTTTTTGTAAGTATTCAACAAAATAGTGAAACGATTTAGTGATGAATTAAAATTTTAATCCGAAACGTAGTTTCCTATTTTAGAGGCTCTTGGAACGAGGTACAATCAA